AGAAGAAAGAAGAAAGTAGAAGAGCTATCAACTGCGAATAAAAAGACATGAAAAAGAAGAAATCGAAAGAGCATGAAGAAGAAAACCATGACAAGAAAGAGAAATTGGAAATTTAGGGTTTGGATAAAAAAGAGTGGGCTAGCCCGCGGTTAACCTCACTCTAACCCAATAAAAATAAAGATCATTGGGGCTAGGGTAAAAAATAATCCCATCATACGGTGGCTGAAAATTGGGGTTGTAACGTTGGCCCACGGGTTGGATCCCGTTTTGACAGCCTAGCTGTGTTAAGCTTATCAGTTGAAAGCGAACACGTTAAAGCCTATGCAGGATTACTCAAAATTTAAAAACATCCAGTGCACTAGGAATGTTCAGCTACGCGCCTCAAAAAAATAGAAATATGCTATTTCGCGAAGTAGAAATAACTTTGGTTGCTATTAACTAGTGAATTTGATTATTTGCTACTGTATGAGGTGGATATGTAAGATATCCATTGTTGCTGGAGTTTCGAGGTGAATTTAGAGGCAAAACGACGCTAGTAAAAATTGGCAAAAATTTCTCTAACTCAAAGCTGTTTTGAAATGTATTTCCTCACTACAACAGTCAAACGCGTTGATCAACTTGACGAGACCGGTGTCGTCATAGTGCATGGCGCGACCAGCAGCCATGTCATCACCTCATACAGTCCCGTCAGGTTGGATGACGCGTTCAGTGTCAAAACCGTACTTGACATGTGGATCCCGTCAAGAGTTGTGACGAGTCCAAGTATTATGGGTCACGCTAAATTTTGTGACGCGTTATATAGTATAAAAATTTGTTTCTCATTGGAAGGTTCAATTGTGCTTGTTTGGATGGGCTTCTCTCATTTCAAAAGCTGCTTTTTTTTTTTAAAAGAAAGTGCTTTTAAAATTTTTATGTTGTTTGGATACTAACTTTGAAGAAAAGGAGAAGTTAATAAAAAAGCTAAAATTTTGCTTTTGCAAGAAGTTAAAAAATTTGACTTCTGAAAAAAACACAAGCCAAAAGCAACCCAAATCTCTCGTCAGAGCACCTGACGATCCAAAAACGGTGATTTTCTTTGCATCAACATGGTAGATTCAAGTGACTTGACCAAGAACAAACCAAGAGACATAGCTTCCCATGAAGGTAGAGCGTGGGTGGCTGTGAAATCCATGACCGACTGGATGGAGGAGGGCGACTGTGTATCTTGCAAAAGCAGCTTGTGTGTCATCTGCAAACTTTGGGAAGTGCTCACCTTTGGTGAGGAGGGCGACGGTGAAATCCATGATCTAAGGATGGAGAAGTGCTCAACTTTGGGATGATCTATAACACCAACGGTGTGTCATCTGCAAACCAGCCTCACCAACAAAAAATTGAGCACTTCTATATGGAGGAAGGCGACTGTGTATCTTGAAGGGGGTTGATTTTTTTGGGGAGAAAAGGAAATAAAATTTTAAGGGTACAACAGTCATTTTATGTTTACAAAATGCTTTTTTATTTTAACATCCAAATGACTTTTTAATTAAAAGTGCTTTTTAAATATTGCATTCAAATGCAAAATAACTTCAACTTTTAAATTTTTTTTTTTTTAAAAAAGTAACTCATAAAAAGTTCTTTTTTAAAAACCTATCCAAACGGCCGAAAAAGCTGTTGCCAGAAGTGCAAATGCTAAACAGTGGACAAAAATAATGGTTAGTTACTGTTTCAAGCAATCTTATTTTATTATTTTTTACTATTTTCATTACTGTTTAATAGTTCAGTTATGCTTAATCTTTAATTAAATCAATAAGTATAATTACTGTTTAATAATTTCACTAACAATTAATCTATTTAACTAAGTAGGTTTTTTTCTTAAGGTTTCATAAATTATAATTACTAAATTAATTAAAACAAAAATGATAAAAAAATTAAAATTAGTGGATACCCTAAACCCAAAAAATCCGAAATAAAAATGAATGGATCTAAGGCTTGGTATTTTGATTGTTTTGATTATTTTAATTATCTTAGTGTTTATGTTATTTAAACCGAAATAATAAAATTTATTTAGTAAAATAATGAATTTGTAATTAGTGTTTTAATTATTGAAATTCTAATATTTTATAAATGTCTGTTTTAATTACTATTTTAATTATTTTATATATTTAATTATTTTATATATTTAATTACTGTTCTAATATTTAGTAATATAAGTTTTTTAATTACTGTTTTAATTATTTTGTAACTTCAATTAGCCTTTAGAATTATTGAAGCCTTAGATCCATTCATTTTTTAGTTAGGGTTTTTTGGTTTAGGGTATCCACTAATTTTAATTGTTTTATCATTTTTATTTTAATTAATTTAGTAATTATATGTTATGAAACCTTAAAAAAAACTACTTAGTTATTTAGATTAATTGTTAGTGAAATTATTAAACAGTAATTATACTTATTGATTTAATTAAAGATTAAGCATAACTGAACTATTAAACAGTAATGAAAATAGTAAAAGATAATATTAAACAATAATAAAATAAGATTGCTTCAAACAGTAACTAACCATTATTTTTGTCCACTGTTTAGCATTTGGACTTCTGGCAACAGCTTTTCATACTATACTAATTGAAACTTTCAACGAGAAACAAATTTTCATACTATACAACGCGTCACAAAATTTAGCGTGACCTATAATACTTGGATCCGGCACAACTCTTGACGGGATCCACGTGTCAAGTACGGTTTTGACACTGAACGTGTCATCCAACTTGACGGGACTGTATGAGGTGATGACATGGCTGCTAGTCATGCCATGCACTGTGACAGCACCGGACTCGTCAAGTTGACCAACGCGTTTGACTGCTGTAGTCAGAAAATACATTTTAAAACAACTCTAAGTTGGAGAAACTTTTGTCAATTGTTACTAATACGATCGTTTTGCCTGAATTTAGATGTATAGAACTTACGTGTATGGAAAGATGAGTTGAATGTAGATAGGTAATATTTGCTTAAACTTCAAGAATCCAAAGCTGTATGTCTTATTAATGAGAATGCCTAAGTAATGCTAAGAAAGGGGAATTGTACAAAAGAAGGGACTGTATGCCCTCTTTTCGAATATTGGAATGAAACAGCAACATGTTCCAATCCATCGCGATGTATCCAGATATATAAATATAACTGTATATCCAGATACATGCTCACAGAATAGGTTCCAACAGCTATTCCTTGTTCTTTACGAGTAATTCACTCTCCAGACATGCTTTTTAGCTTTTATTGAAGTTAAATGACCATCATATGAGATCTATTCACACTTTTCCCTTAGTGGAGGATATTAATTAGCTATGTGAATGGGCAATCCCAAGTGAGTGTCTCTCGTACATGCAAGCTTAGCTTGCCATGAGAATGCACAGATTCATGACATGTTATAGTGTATGTTTTACTCAAGAAGAGCTCGCTATGTGTGTGAAGATTTTGATGTATTATGGACTATGTTATATGACATATTACATTATGCTTGAATTAAATATATGATGAATGTATCATAGTCTATCATTGCAAGCTGAGCTTGCTAGGAAGTTACGATCCATACAGATTCTTGATCAAATACAATAAGTTGTTCTGAAAACAGACTAAAATGAGGGAATGAACCCCCAATAGGTTGGGTGACCTTGGTATATGGTTCCTGTGTGTATCCTGGTCCATAAAGGTTTGGGTTTAAAAAGCATCATATATAGTAAGGGACACCCTACATGGTTATGAGCTGAACAGGCCTTGTGCAAAAGGCCCCTTTAGTGTGAGCATAGTAAAATGGTAATGAAATATAACGTCCCCCTAGTGTGTGTATATTAAAAACAGCATATCACACATAGCTTGCCCCAAAGGTTTGGGCAAGAAAATGATAACCTGTCTGCATGTGCCCCAAAGGTTTGAGTTAATAATATAGCAGAATAATGTTATGAATGTTTGTGCATCCGGTGATTATGTTATGCATCTCAGATTAATGTATGATGTGCAGCAATGTTTCTCTTAGTTACAAAATGATATATTCTGCATGTATAACGAGTGCTACTTTAATTGATGAAAAATACACTAGCAACAATCAGGCATCATTTGTAATAAACTGGGGCATATGTTTGATATGCTCCAATTTAACGGAGGGATGAATACTGCTAACAGCTTTAATTTCCTATTTAATATTAGAGTTTTATTAATCTCCTTTTCCATAAGATAGGTATCTTATGTTGTAGAGAAAAACTAGGTGGGTCCCACCATTACAAAAAAAAAGAAAAAAAAAAAAGTGAGGTGCGGAAATCGAAGTGAGAGAAAATGAGATAAATTATCTAATGTAAAAGGAGACTAATATTTCCCTTAATATTATATTCTTGTTTTCTTTTTTCGGAGCATATCATAATATGACATGGTGTACATAATAGTGGATATTGTACATAATTAGGATAATTGATTTCTTTCGAGTATATAATAAAATGTCTGCTGCAACTAAATTCTTTCAAATAATTCCGAAATCTTTTGTCATTTTTCCAGTATTAACATCAAGAAACTAAAATTCATCTCCAAAACCACATGCAAAGACTGCAATAGAACTAAAAAAGAAAAAGAAAAACTACACAAAATAAAAAGAGGAGTCATTAAAAACAGAAAGCAACAAAGCATATTAGTCCTGAAAAAAACGATACTGATTAACTTAATTTTTTTTTTCCTTTAAGAATGATTTATTGATCTTTCAAAAAAATTCAATATTCACTTTCTTTTTATTTCAAATATTCCAATTACCCCGATTGCCCTGGCTTATTATTTTGGTTAAACGCATCTGATTAATGAAATGATGTGTATCCAGCTTTAAAAACATAAAAGCATACACAAATGTATGAGCAATAATTAAAAGATTTCAAGACCAAAATGGACACACAAACAGAGAACTAGATGCATCATAGGACCCAATATTTGAGATCATTCGAAGACCCTCCTCATCCTTAAGTCTAAGCCAGCAAACACTAGATGTAAACTCACCAACCAAATCCAACGAAGAGACTCGCTTAAAAATTAACTGCAAAGAATATAGACAGGGGCACTACAGCATCATGCCAACATTTGAGGACTGTAATTACAGCACGATTATGCCTTTAACTAACAGCCATAGCTTTAGAGGAACCATCAACCTATTTTTCCTTTCATTCAGAGGCTTCAAATACAAACATTAAACTCATTAGCACCATCTACGAAATCTAGAAATCATGAGAACAATGGACATGAAGAAAATATATGAATCAACTAATTACATTTGTCTTCTACTGTCCCATTTGAACCAACACGAAAATAAATCAATAGAGAAGTGATAATTTGGAAGGTATACCGACAGGCAATAGATAATTTTCTCAAATGGACTGCTGTAGCTAGATGTCCAGGAATGCTTCAACTTCTTCCCTAGCTGTTTATCCTTCTTGGTCTTTTTCTCTTTCTGTGACCCTCCTGTGTGAATTATTTGAGCGTCAATGCATATGGGAGTAAAAAATCCAGGTGCGAGATTGTGTGCCATGTATAAGCATTATCGTAAAGAGAGAAAGATAGAGACTCTCAATATGTTAAATAAGTGTGTTAGTGAGTGATTAGTATGCTGTGTCAAAACAAAATGGGTGAGAAAGTGAATGAGAGTACCTGTTAACAAGTCAATGTGGATGGCTAGAGGATGTGAAAAATGGACGATTAGGTGAAAATTCAGCAAGTGAGGAATGTGAGATTGTTGTGATGGCTGTGCATTGGTGAATTAAGTTGAAAGAGTGAAAGACGAGAGCTACATTTAAGTGGGTGTACGAGTCAAAAGTGGTGCTGTGTGAAATGAGTGATGAGAGTATCAATGAGAATGAGAGTATCTATGCGGGATAAATGGCTACTACTCCATGTGATTTTGTGTTGTGGAGATGAGGGAATAGTGATTGGGTGAAGAATGTGTTGGTAAGAGGAAGCAAATTCTAAGAATGAAATTTTATTTTATTCAGACCTTTATTAGTTCCTTAAACAACTGCTAAAGCAGTCACGGTCCTAAAGGACTAGTATCCTGATTGTGCAAACCAAAACTCAGCACTTTATATAGGGTCAACTCAATATTTATGCATCAATACTTAATATCATGCTCCTTTTCGGTTTATGTACCAAATATGTAACATTCAATCCAAATTTCACATAAAACAGATTACACAAATAGTGTCAGGTGTTTTGTAATCACTATGTAAGAGATCCATTCAAACTTCATAATCAGAACAGAATATGAATGACTCACACAAAGGCAACTTTTGATATGAGGTTCAATTCAAAGAGCTAATATTGGACCCAGAAAACATAAGGTTACGACAGACTCGTTAAAGTCTTTATGTAGCAGATGTACAAATATTTCGAGAAAATTACTAGCCATTTAACCTGGCAGTACAATTTAGTCAAATCAAGTAATCCTAGTTTAACAAAACAAGCTACAAACAGAAATGCTGAGACACAGAGTCTTAAGAACCTGAAGCTAACCATCCAATTTCAGAATCAAGACAACACAAACAAAAATTCACCCAATAACATTGATAAATAGAAAGTTGCGGCAATTAAGAGTTTTAAGAGTTATGTTACAAACTTGATATATCAATATCCTTAACACAAGTCAAGCATTACAAGATTGCAAATAAAAGCCAAAAAAAAACATACTACGGGTCCGTTGCAGTAAACAAGAATTTACAATCATGATAATAATGCTGACCAGATTAGTTACCAAGGAAGCTTATCACAAGAAAGTCATGAAGAGCTCAGTTTACATAGTAAAGCCAATTTAGTTTCAGTTCAGTGATGCAGCAGCTGAGTTATACAAGAATTTAATCGAAGAAAGTGCCTTCATTCAACATGCAGTTAAGTAAAATATTTCATATTTGGATGGATGTAACGGTCAAATGAAGAGTTGAGCAACCGACAAAAGGAATGATTTAAGGGGGCTGGCTAATCCGAGAATACAATATATATATATATATATATATATATATATATATATCACTTACAGCCCTTCAAGCCATAGTTGTTAAAATCTCAATTTATCACTACGATTTTACGTTTTTACAATTTTTTTCATCAAAACGATTTTACCAATATTCCAAACGCTTTTACGTTTTTACGATTTTTTTACATTACGATTTTACGTTTTACGATTTTTTAGTTCCCTTCCAATTTTACTTAAAATCTCGATTTTAACAACATTGCTTCAAGCTTAGTGAACATGTGTACATGCAGTAGAAATAAAATATCCTCAGCAACAAAATTTTACTGCAGTACACAAAATGCCTTACAAGGGTAATCTAGTTACTATTATTCCATTTACACTTAAATTGAACCGGATCGGAATTAAAATTTCATAGAGTTTAATTTCTTAATGCAGAAAATATATCGAAGCAGTCAAGACAGAGTAAAACTAAGAAAATAATCTCAACCCCAAATAGTCTCTTGTTCACGCAAGACACCAAACTATCCCGATATCGGAAACAACAGGAACCAAAGTATTAGTTAAATACTCTGACAAATAATCACTTAAAACACGACAAATAAACAATTAGACCTAAAGAGAAGAGTGCACAACATTACAAGTTCATCCAATCGGTCAGTCAAATTTAGCGTCCAATCTGATACTGCTAATGTCTTACACAGAAATGAGTTGATCAGGCTCACATCTTAGCAATCAATAGTGCAACATCAGGTTGGACACTCAACAGTCTCTCACATAGAGACACATAGAACTCACCACAATTACTGCTAGTACAACGTCCACCAACAAGCACACACCAGCAAGCAATCACGAACAGAAGTCACAAGCAACAATCATTAACAAACAGGCATTTATAAGCAATTGCTAGTAATTTATCACCTAGAACACTGCTCTGATACCACTAAAAAAATACAGTTTTTTATAATTTTAAATTTTATGACATAGACAAAGATGATTTTCACAAGGTGCCTCATCACAATTGGGTACAAACCTGTCTTATAGAGTATTTCATTTTCATTTCTATGTAAAAAATGGTAATCATCAGAACTAGAAGTAAATTAGACTGAATTAAAAAGAATAACTTTTTCATCGTGTAATACACTAGTAGCATACATTAATGTCTATATTAAATACCTGTGTAGCTTCAAAAACACAACCCCCGATGTACAAATGCAGTGCTTAATCAAATTTTCACAATTATGAAGCAGAGTTATGCTTTCTGCTTTTTAGAGCCTAGAACAGAAACAACAAGTATCCTTGGACATGTATTTTTAAATTCAGGTAATATCTAAAAAGTAAAATATATATATATATATATAAGAGAAAAATAATTAAATTAAGGAATGCATAAGTAATTCAGGTAGAGTATCCAAAAATATAAATTCAAAAAAAAAAAAAAAATTTGTTTAAGATTATAAAGAAGATATGCAGAATTAATTTAAAAGAATTCAAATTTAAAATTTAAAAAAGAGAAGTGAAGAATGACTTATGTTATTTTTAAGGGATAATAAACTAAGAGATTAAGCCAGTCTCAAGACAGTCTATTATAATTTAATATATAAGGGTGGATTACTCGAAATACCAAAAAGACCTACAAGATGATTGAAAGTTATGTTATTATCCAACAATCAACTCAACTTATCAATGCTGGAGAAGTCATCTTAAAACTCAATGCCAAGGAAACATTTGACAGGACCTATAACAGGCCAATAACATAACTATCAAGTGCAAAATGTGCAAATTAATAGAGGGGGGAAATCGGATCTGGGAATTCACATTAATTGTGCATTCCCAACTATTTTACATGAAGAACAAATTTCATGAACAAAACCCCTCACCAGTAAAGTTGTCAACTTGAGATGATCAGTTTCATGGACTTCTCAATCTTCATCGTCAGAGCTGGCATCGTCACTACTATAATCACTACTATCACTGCCTCCAAGATCCAAATTAACTGGCTGCACTTGAATAACTTCTGGTTGCTTGGGCTGAGGAATGTGAGGCTGTAATTGTTGCTCCTCAAATCTTGGTACTGGAAGGGAGTCCATGGGAGGCAATGGCACGGGATCCCCAGGTTTCCAGCCAGGTGGAGGCTTAATTGGTATATCAATAGGTAATTGCACAGGCATTCCAGGCTTCCAACCAGGCGGAACCGTAAAATTTGGAGGTAGCAGCCCTTGAATTGCAGACAAATTTGCAAGTGGATTGGTATCCACCTGCTGTAGAGGCAGAGGCTCAATAATAGCCTCAATCGTTTTCTCCTTGGCTTCAACTGCTTTAGGCAATCCAATATCAAGATCTGCAAAATTATATAACTGTGAAGCTCTCATTTGTTCTTCTTGTGGTGCAGGTGGCAGTGCACCGCGGAGAGGAGCTTGCCCAGCCCCAAATTCCGGTGGTGCAAAGGTTGTATAACTTATCCGATGGGCATATGATAATATATCAGACAGCTTCAGCTGAGATGAGACAGTCGAGGAAATCAAAGAATCATCTTCATTTCCATCTCCTGATTTCGATCTCTTGGTGCGGCGATAATCAGAGTAATCATCAACAAGAATGTCAAGACCTCGCTCAGCGTCCTTGAGTTTGTTGGCAAACGCGAGAAGTGCCGAATCTCTTGAGCGGATTTCGCGATCAATCTTCTGCTTAGCATCTTGTAGATCAAGAATCTCTTGGAGTTCGGCAACGGCTTCGAAGATTTGGGTTTGAAGAACGGTGAAAAGCGAGAGGATTTCTTTGGTGGTGGAAGGAGAGGACTCGAGCGGGGTAGACAAATGTGCTTGGCCTTGTGAAGGAAGGAAGGTAGGGAGGGTTCCACGGAAAGCAGTGACCCAAAGGGACCTGTTGGGTGATAATTCAAAGAGCTTAGAAGTTAAGCAAGCCATTTGAAGAAGAAGTGCTTGTGCTCTGGGGAGGGGTGGGAGAAGAGACAGTAGAGCTGCTGAAGGGGTTGCCGAATTGCGGTCTTGGTGGTGATGGGTCTGTGAAGGAGGGAGCTTTGGAGGAGTAGGGTTCGTAATCGACGGTGAGTTAGGGTTGGTAAGGCCCAGCCTAGCTGGGGATTGCACAATTTGGTGTTGAAGCATTTTGTATAGATTCTTCTTATGCTTTCCAAAGGTATTATCAACTGTACTACAAAATGTAAGAGAAAAATTCTTCAGTATATCATAAAGACTGATAGAGCTGTCAAAATGGGGGGAACAGGGATCATAATTGTTGAACAAAGGTACAAGTCGCAACTCACAATGTAGGTTACAGGCACACAAAAAATTAATTCATAATCGCACTAGTTTGCACACAAAAATAACATTCACAAACATTTGAATGATACTGAAAAAAAAAAATATTGTTTTATTTGAACTTTCGTTGAAATTGATGATAAGGCATCGCGGATGTAACACAATTAACAACAAATTGCATCTCAGGTAAGGAAATATCATACCTTGAGGCCCGATTTTTTCGATTTGAGCAATTACGAATACCAAACAACGGAGGAATTGCGAGGTGCTACGCCTACGGACGCTAAAGAAATGAAGGGAAATTGAATTTCTGGAAACCCTAACGCGAGGAAGCAAGATGGCCGAAGCTGCATCTTCTGTTCTTCTTAAATCTAAACGCTTCGTTTCCGGTCTTTGCACTCTTCTTCTTTTAAACTAGCGTTACGGTCGTTATCCAAAAAAAAAAAAAAAAACTTTACGATCGTAATAAATTATCCCTTTTTTTTACATTAGATAAGTTTTTTTTTCTGCACACTTTTTGATAATTGTGTCATCATTTTTTTTTTTTTTCTTTTTTCAGATGATGGAGTCCATGAATTTATCTCTATGACATGAAATAACTTATCTCCTTTAACATGAGATTAATAAATTTTTTTTTTTTAACAATTGAGTTAAATTTTTAAAAATCAAATTCTTAATATTTATTTTACAAAAAAACTATTGAGAAGACAATTTTTAAGAAACTGGTTTTCAATAATTTGTTTATTTTTTATTCTTCATTTTAACACTATTCTTTTAAAATAACAATTTAGGATGAGAAAAAAATTGTAATAGTATTTTTACGCTTTATTAAAAATCTAAGAATAATTAAAATCAAAATTAATAGCATTTACATGATAAGTTCATACATAATTGAGAAATATTAAATTAATACTATTTGTTAAATACTTTAAGAAATTATAAACAAATTAAAGTTAAAAGATCTATAATTGAAATTTTAATTATTGATAATTGGTTAATTGATAACACAAATATGATATATAGTAGGTTTATTCGCAAAAATAACTAAATCCACACTCTTGAGGTTGTCATATATTATGAACTCTCTAATTAGGAAAAGGTTGAATGTAGTGGTTCAGAAGCATACTAAGATCCTGTTTGGATGAGCTTTTTTTTCTTTAAAAGTTACTTTTTTTTAAGAAAAAAAGCACTTCTCAAAAAAAATCTGTTTGGATGCCTGTTTTTTAAAAAAGCAGAAGTCATAAAAAAGTTAAAAATTTACTTTTTTCAGAAGCTAAAAATTTTAGCTTTTAAAAAAAGCAGAAGTCAAAAGCCAATATTTTTTTCAAAAATCAAATATTTTTTAAAAAATCTAAATTGTTATAACTTTTGTAGAAAATACTTTTAAAATAAGGAAGTCATAAAAAGGATTTTATTGAAAAGTCAATACAAACGCAACCTAAGCCCATTCATGAGACCCATCAAGCTGGTAGTAAGAAGAATGCGCTAAGAGTAGGCAAAAAAATTAATTTATTACTTTTTTAATAAAAAATTACAAATAAGTAGTCGTTTTGCAAAGTATTACGAATCTATAGCACCCAAACACGTCCACATGTGGCGTGTTCTAATGGAGAGAGAGACGCTCATGTGGGGCGTGAGCTACTGAAGGGGACACGCCCAATGTAGGGCGTGAGTGGCAATAAAGAGACACGCCTCTTATGGGGTGTGAGCTATGATGGTAGACACGCCCAACATAGGGTGTGTGTGGCAGGAGAGAGACACGCCCCTGATGGGCGTGTTCTCCGTGGTCTATATATATGGGTTTTTCACTTTTTTACCTCATTTCCACCCTCACATCCTCTCTCTAAACCTCCTCCTCCTTCTCTCTACATTTCTTTTGGAGGGTTTTGCGCAGCGAAGCTCTGTCTCTCTCATGTAAGTCCCTATTTATTGTTTATTTTTTTTATTAACAACAATTAATATATGATAGTTATTAGTGACTTAGATAATTGTTAGGGGGTTAGAAAAATATTTGTGACTTTATTTAATTGTTAGGGGGGTTAGAAAAATATTAGTGACCTATGTAAAAGAATTGTGATGTGACTTAGGTATTAGATATGGACTTAAAAATTAATTAGTTACTTCTAAATTGGTATATGTTGGTTTTATGACTTATTTACACACTTAGAAATTAGTTTGTGACAATAAATATTTTTTTATGAATGACACTTGCAAACATATTGACCTTTCAATTAACCACATTATAATTAGGGTTTGTAAAAAAAGAATACCGTATGCAATATTAATTTAAATTGAATTTGAATTATTTAATGTATTGAAATATATTTTTAGAATAATGTAATGTTAAATGAATTAATTGTCAATGATGTTAATTTAATTGAAATTAATATAAAAATTGAAGTTAGTTAAATGCTATTTAATTCAGTGCAATTAAATTTTATTTAGTGTAAATTAATATAATATCAATAGTAATTTGGGTACATCTTTTTCATTTGTAGTAGTATTCTATTATGGCCCATTCGTCTTCATCAGAGTCCTCGCGCTCTGGATCCGATGGTGATCTTGAGCCATCTGATCCTTGTACGCATGTACTTCCTGGCCCATATAGGTGGGAGGTACTCCGTAAGAGGACACAACGCAGTCACGTTTCACAAGTTGTGTGGAACGAGGATAAGGTTAGGGGGTTAAAGATGAGGCGAGGGAAACTTCAGGGGGGACCCCATCATGATGATATACCAGACGTTGTCGCTAACTATTTGACACAGGCTGGGTTCATAGACGTGGCACGTATGAGTCATATTCAGGTATGTAATTTTTAAATTACTTAATTAAATTACCGTATGTGGACTTTGTATAATTGTTGTTTTTCCTTCAGATCGATACCCCCTTGATCTCTGCTTTGGTTGAGCGTTGGAGACCGGAGACACATACGTTTCACATGACGCAGGGAGAGATGACCGTTACATTACAGGACGTGGCTGGTATACTTGGTTTGCCTACTGACAGGCAGGCAGTTACCGGATCTACAGCGTTGGATTGGATTGCTATGTGTCAGCAGGTTTTTGGGACTGCCCCTGTTGCGGGCACAGACATTCACAGAGGCGATCTACGTATTTCTTACTTAGACAGGATATATGCTGATTGGTTTACAGTAGCACACAATCCCGAGGAGGTGAGGCGTTACACCAAGGCACACATTTTGCGGCTATTAGGCTCATGGTTAGTGTGTGACAGATCAGGTGGCAGCAAAATTGCTTGTCGTTACGTTCCACTACTTGCAGGGGACTTTACGGACATTGGCGGATACAGTTGGGGGTCTGCGGTTCTCGCCCATCTCTTTAGACATTTATGTGTGTCAACAAACCCGCGGACTGTTAATATGGGTGGTTGTCACTTATTACTGCAGATATGGGCTTGGATTAGATTCCCCCCATTGCACCACCTATCCCGCAGCCTACCCACCCGAAGTGGCATTTTGGTCACAGGTATATTTTATTAACTCATTTATTACATGTTCATTTGTCGTATGAGTATGATAATTTGTTACACATTCTATTACAGGTTTAATTCCCTACCTCCCTTTAAGCCACATGAGCAGTCTTGGTATCGGGCAAACCTTGACACGCTTTATAGAGACGGGGTTTGTGATATCTATTTAGTAATTGTTTTTAATTTATTTACATATTATAGTTGGTGGTTTATGTGTAGTTGTTACTAATTTTTTTATATGTAGGTTGTGTGGCAACCATACGGAGAGTTACCATACAACATTGTTTGTATCTAATCATGAACGGTACTTATGGTTGGCCATTACTCCTATCATTTGCTTCCACACAGTTGAGTACGCTCAACCGGATAGATGTATGCGACAATTTAGTTTTGATCAGCCCATACCGCGGAGACCAAGAAAGCTTAAGGGTGTTCATGATCTAACTCTGCGTGGGAAGAAGGATGATAATTGGGAGCGTAAGATGAGGCCCTTCATACATCGATGGACGATCAGGGATACGTCCATACGTGTTCCCCCTGTACTGGTCGGGTTGATGTCCCCGAACCATGAGTACCTACACTGGTACAGACAGCGAGGGAAACGGTTCGTCGCCAGGAAAGCTGCCAGGGTTGGGCGAGCAGTAAGTCTTGACACTTCAATTTTGAATATGATTATGTGTTTATACATTTTTAATTAACACATGTTGTTTCATTTCTTTATAGATTGATGGGTTGGAGATGCTATATTTTGCGACTACTGTGGATCAGTTCCCCGCCTTTGGCTTAGAGTGGGTCCATGACAAGATTGGTCGCATTATTGCTATATTCAGAGAGTCGGCATGAGTAGAGGAGCCAGGGCTAGAGGCTCCACCTATGCAGACTGTTGAGGAGCCGATGTTGACCATTGAGGTGACTAGTGGCAGGCAGGAGGGACGTGGACTAGGACGACAGCGGGAATCGGTTCGAGCGATACCCGATCCTATTATTGCTCCTAGACCGCGCACTGATATGCAGGGTTGGTTTAGACCGCCAGTGCTAAGCCAAGCAGGCGGGCCACATCCTATGTACCATGGTCCTCCTCCGCCACAGTATTGTGATAGCCAGGCAGGTACATCGTATGGCCAGGGGTTTACACAGAGTGAGCAGGTTTATCAGGCTAGCCCCATGGCATGCGCATCTGGTGGGGTATCGGTCTCTCAGGATCCTTCCTGTAGTACAGAGTACCAGGAGTGGAATATGGAAGACGTAACGGAGTAGTGCCAGACCTTGGACTTGACCACAGACGGAGTATGCGATTGGCCTACACATGTACCCGTTGCTCCTCCACCTTCACATCATGTGCCCGATGACCCTTTGTCATCGACTTCGCCGCATATGCAGCCTGTTACTGCACAGCATGATTTTATACCATCTGCGAGCAGTGGATATGTTGCCTCAGGACCTGGCATGTCTTGCACTACTCCACTAGCTAATGTTCCAGAGGCGGTTGACAATGAGGAGCCCTCTCTTGACGCATTTGCACAGGCTATAGAGGCTCAGTCTAGGCGTCGATTACCCCCACGTCAGGCACGTGATAGGCCATGGCCTCGTTGGTCATAGTTTTATTTCATGTTTTCGTTTAGTTAGATGGACGGATGTATTGACTGTTTTTTTGGGACTGTTGTTATTGTGTACTATGCTATCGCTGACTATTGTGGACTATTTTTTGAATATTTCTATTAGCATTGGAAGGAGTAAACAAATAATTTTTATGTATGCGATGTTATATGTTAATACAAGCAAACCACACAATCACCATAAAAGCTAATTTTAAAGAAACAGAGCGATACATTTTAATTGGCAAAATAGTTGTTCATAAGTGACAAACACCCACAAGTCATATCATGCATTATTTCCACGGTTAGGACACGACCTACGATTGTGCCCGTGTTGCTTACAAAGACCACATAACTTGCGTGATGTAATAGTTTCAACCTCATCCATCTCGTTCCGTATTCTTGTAGACTTTGGACGACCTTTTGCTCGCAACATATTTTTATCCGGTATTACCACAGGGCCTGCATTGGGTGGAATTGCTTGCTCATTGCCGATTGGTTCCCATGGAAATGAGTACGCCTTTACCAAGTTTGACGTCTTGAAAACATCATCAATATATTGTCGATAATTCCGACGAATGGATAACGCTGCAGCAATGACGTGACTACAAGGATATTTAAATGCTTTAAATTGTCCAAATTGGCATGTACGAGCAGTAAGGTTGACAACATATGTCCTTTCAAACCCTGCATCCACCTCAAAAACAGTTTCATCAACATTATATGTACGCACAATATGCATTGTTGCCACGGATTCATTATGTGTCAATGATTCAATCACATTTTTGCAATAAGTATGACCAGATTCAAGTTGTCTACAAGCCGATTGACCTCTTTCCACGCAATATTAGACCAATCTACTGTATGTAAATTTTACCAGACCAGTAATGGGCATGTTTCATGATGTACAACGATACGAGACTCCCCCAAATCATGCCATGGTTGAAGTTCAGTACCAGACCTGCCACATTCTTCGTCATTGTCCGATGCACTCAAATCCTCTGCAAGAAGACGATCCTCCGTTGCAATATTTTCCTCATCATCTTCGTCATACTCCTCATCCATCACCCAAGTAGGGTCATGTTCATCTTCCTCAGACATGTTAACAGCAGGAGCAGCAGATGAGGATGCATTAAGAGGAGAAGTAGACCTAACTGACCTCATTGGTATAACAACTTCCTCCGCGGTGGTAGTATCCACATACAACTCTAAGAAATCCTTTCTGGACTGGTTCAAGAACTCTTCCATTACCATATCGATGTCTTCGTCATCGACCACTTGCAAGCTAATGTATTGTTCACATTGCCATAATCTTGCCGTGACTAGAGTGATCAATTGGTTGTCTTGAAGACATAATTTTTGACGTATTTTCTGATGCAGCTCAGCAACAGTTGAGTTCCGTTTAATACATGATGTCCTTTTCTGCCCTACAAAAATAACACCATGACGACCTTCTTCTATCCTACCGTTAAAATATAGAACAACACGAATAGTATCAGAATTCGCACTCATTTTTAAAATCAAAATTTAAAAAGATAAAAAAAAATATGAGTAAACAAGTGCAAACTATCAGAGAGTTTAAGCATAACAATGAGAGAGTTGTGAAGAGTGTGTAGGGGGGTGGGTGTTTAAATAGACTGCAGTTTAGTCACTCACGCCCAGATTGGGCGTGACCTTCCAGTGGAACACGCCCTATGTTGGGCGTGTCTACCATCACAGCTCACGCTCCATAAGAGGCATGTCTTTTTCCTGCCACTCACGCCCTACATTGGGCGTGTCCCCTTCATAGCTCACGCCCCACATGGGCGTGTCTCTCTCCATCAAAACACGCCCCATGTGGGTGTGTTTGGGTGCTATAGATTCGTAATATTTTGCAAAACGATTACTTTTCGTAATTTTTTATTAAAAAAGTAATAAATTAATTTTTTTGCCGCTAAGAGTAACCAAATGGCCCAATTATCTCCAATATTATATTGTGGGTTGATGTTAGAGATGATCATGGAAGTAATTAGTGGTATATGGTGGGCTATGTACCCTTGTCATGAGTGTTATAATTGTATTTTATTTCATGTAAAATTTAAAAATATAAAAGGAATTACAATAATGAGAAAAATAGAGAAAATTGTTGGATAAATTTTATCTCCCTTCTTTCTATCTCATCTGAACTCTTCTTCTTTCTCTATTTTGAACTCTAATCCTATAGTAAAATTGCATGTATGCGTATAAAGATAAAATAGCATAATAAAATTACATGAATGTAAGTTGAAATGATTAATAGTTATTGTTGCGAACTCGGCAAGTGCACCGGTCGTACAAGTAATAAAGTGATAAGAAAAGTTGTCGATCCCACGAGGACTGATGACCAAGCAATAATTTATCTATTTAACTAAAGTTGGATCGATCGTGAAAGAAGTTTCTTGAGAATATTTTAATTAAATTAAAAACAGAATTTGTAAACTTATTTTTAGTTTTTAATATTTTAGAAAATAAACTCAGAATTAATAAAACTAGAAATTGGTTTTAAGTTTTTAATAAAAAGGCGTAGCTAGGACTCAACTTCCCCAATGGTTTCTTAACGAGTTTGCCTATACTTACGATTACATTCAAGATCAAATTATTAACAGCTCTTTCTATGATTGATTAAATCCAAATAAATCCCTTGGTAATCCAATCCTTTATTCTAATCCAAAGCCTAATCACTGAGTACTTTTTCATAAAATAAGCATTAATGCATGAACCTACGGTTATAGAATTCATAAGTCTATCCCTAGATCATACAAATTCCAGCAATCAACCAATAAAAATCGATACACCAACATCCTTATTGTCATGCACGACTTTAATGCTCATTCAAGACTGGCCAGATCATAAATAAGACTAGGAATAAATTGCAGATTCATTGCATAACTTAAATCAAGAATATAAATCATAATAAAAGCAAACAGCGTTAATAACCCATTGGTTCCGTCTCGCCCTAACTACTAACAGGAATTTAGTTATGCATAATTATAAAAACAGAATTAAAAGAAAATGGAAAATAAATAAAGTTCATGATGAAACTTGATTAATGAAGACGATCAATGATGCAGAATGATTCTGGTTCCTTCCCCTCTGCCAGTGTTCCTCTTCCACCACGACTTTCGTTTCGTCTCTGACTCCCTTCTTTCTACGCGTACCAGAATAATTTCACGGCTTTGCTCGCGTTGTATTTAAAGAGGAAAATTTTGGGCTTCGAATTTTGGACCAACTCGCTGAGGAGCTCGCTGAAGCGAGATGCTCAACGAGCCTTTTCTCTTCCTCGCTCACTTGCTCGCTGAAGCGAGCAATGGAGCGAACTTCATAATGCTGCTCGCTTACTTGCTCGCTGGTGCGAGCAGTATAGCGAGCCTAACTAAATAATTAATATTTATTAATTTCCTTATTTTCGCTTCATATTCTTCGAATTGCAACCGGCTTCTCATCGTTATCAGGTTAGCCTTTTGTTATTCTAGTACGAAACAACTTGAAACAACAACAAAGATAGGTTCTTATCTATTTGTTGGCAATTTACTATCTTTTAAAATTTTATTAATTAACACTATATTTTAAATTATTTTACTTACTATTTGAACTATATTTAATATTAAAAGCATAGTATATTTGACACTTATAAAATCATTCCCAGATTTACTCATTGCTGTCCTCAGCAATGAATTGAATTAAAAACATGGAATAATGTAAGCATGCTTAATATAAAACTAGACAGTATATCAATTCAAGAATGATCAGACTTAGACAGAAAATAATAAAAATTTTAAGAACCAACATTTAACTAAGCAGTCTTTGAAGTGCACAGATTATAAAATCAATGCATCAGTTCTATCAATCTAGCATAAAAACTGAATTTTAACACATCTCTCACTGGATATATCAAATCACTCATCACTCATTTGTCTAAGGGTAAGTGTTTCACTCAAATATTTTACTGTATCAATATTTTCATAGGCTTGATAATATTCTCACTTTCCACAGTTAATTTACATGCACAAAAGATCAAGAGGTCTTTATTCAGGTTGTAATGGGGCTGGGCTAAAGGTAGGATAAATAAGAAAAAATTAGCTAAAACATTAAAATACAGAAAGATCATGGTAAAGTGTAAACACTCAAACAATAATCCTTTTTCTCCTTTCTTTCCTCCTTTTTCTTTTTCAGCACTTTTATTTTTTCTGTATTTTTTTTTTCATTTTCATTTTTCAACACTTTTATTTGCATAGAAACAATAAATATTTTTATTTTTCACCATTTTCCAACCTTTGCTTTTGCTTCATTCACCTAACCTCCTTTTTCACCACTTTGAATTACATGATAAAGTACTCATGTTTACACCCTACCATGAAATTTCTATAATGCAATCTTATTTAAGGTAGATGTGTATATAGAGTGGCTAATTAAAACAACAGGTATTAAAACAAGAAAAGTCTTAGGCTCAAAGGGGCTAAACAAAGGATATCATAATAGTCGGCTTTTTGGCTAACTAGCTAAAACAATAAAATGCCTCAATCATTTCAAACATGCATGTAAAATACCATTTTAAGGAGAAACAAAGCAAGTTCTAGTAATATTTTCAACTGTAAAATGCACACTGAAAAGAAATTTCTGTTTAGGCTCAAACCTCACGGTTATATGTGTGCAATTTAGTAATTTATGCTTTTTCTCAATCATTCATACTGTAATTTCATTATTCTTACTGACTCTTGGACTAACTCAACCAATGCTCATTCCTAAAATAAAACATATTCTAAGTCATCACATCATAAATTAATTTTTACTGACTAATTCTAACTTAGCATGATTTAATAATCCAGACAGAGAAAAGAAACACAATAAAATAAAATAAAGAGGATTGAGGAAAAGAATTTTCCCTGTTTTTCTGGAAAAAAAATTTGCGGTTCTACTCATCACAGGGATCATGGTTGTACCAACTGCTACTACTGCTACTATATATATGGTGTGGTGCGTCCCCATTCCCAGATTTAGGAATTTGCTTTCCTCAGCAATTAATAAATCAAAAAGAAACAACTGCACACATCAACTCAAAAATATTATCAAATAAAGTCAGTAGTAGCAATCATGCTCACAATAGAGTGAGAAAAATAAAATTTGTACATCACTAGAGTCATCACTAATAAAAACAGATAAACAAAAGAAAAATAAAACTGAAAAAAAATCTGTTGGCATCATAAAATAAACTAAAATAATTAACTTAAAAGCGATAAATTTTTTGGTTGCCTCCTAAGAGCGCTTGTTTAACGTCATTAGCTTGACATTACATCTTTGTTAGTCATGGAGGCTTGTAGCCGGAATTTAAAGATGATGTCATTCCTTTTATCATAAATATTGCTTTGCCGTAATAGTACTCCCGTGCATATGGGCGAGAAGGTTTGGCCTCAAGAACTCTAAACTTAGTCTTGATGTGTTTTCCCTTGCTCTTAGGCTTTGCCATCTTCACCTCCGGCTTGCAACTCTCATCTGGCTTATGATCTTTCTTTTCTTCCTCTTTAGCCTTCTTTTCCTCAATAAAGAAAATTATCTCTGGCTGAGTTGTAGGTGGTGGAGTTTTTTTTTCAAACATTTTGAGAATAGCCCTTTCTCCTTCCACCCTTAAGATCAATTCACCTTTAGGCACATCAATTAGCGCTCCGGAGGTCGCTAAGAAAGGTCTCCCAAAGATCATGGGAATAGTAGCGTCCTCCTCTATATCCA